TCGTCGACCCTCCTCCTCGACCCTCCCCGTCAAGCCTTCCCCATCGGCCCTCCGTCGTGGTCTTCTTCCCCAGCCCTATCAATGAATCCTCTGGGCCTCTCCTCCTTAGTGCTCCTACCTGTTCTCCTGATTCTTCCTGCCCAGTTGACCCGTAACGCTTCTCCCGAACCCTCCTCTTCAACACTTCTCCGCAACCCTTCCCCTCAGGTTTCCTCTTCAGCCGCACCCTCAGTGCTTCCTCTCCCTACCCCCTCCCTCCCTCCTCCCTCCTTGCCTCCTTCCTTCCCCCCTCCCTCGCTTCCCTCTCCTTCCTCCGTCCCTCCCCCTTCCCCTCCCCTGTCCCGCTCCTTTGTCGCCCTCCAGGCGCCGCCGCCTGCGCCTGCGCGGCCGTCCCTGCACTCGGCGCCGGCGCCGGCGGCCCCAGCGACCCCGGTGGCGACCTCCGCGGCCATCGAGGCCGCGGAGGTCCGCATAGAGCGGCTGCGGCGCCAGCTCCGGGAGGCCGAGGACGACCTGCAAGCCCTCCATGTCCTTGCAGCCTCGTCGCCGTCGTCCTCGTCGTCGTCCTCGGCGTCGCCCGCGGCTTCGTCTGCGTCGCCGTCGGCGTCGGCGGACGCAGCGGCCGCGGCGGCCAGTGGCCCGGTGGCGGCGGCGGCGGTCGCGCCGCCCGCGCCGGCCGACGGCCCGCCGCCGCCGCCGGCGGCGGCCGACGACGAGGGCGGGCCTGCCGAGGGCGTGGCTTGGCTTAGGCAGCCGTTCCTGAGGCTGCGCCGCGCCATCGAGATCGTGCACGCGGCAACGTGCCCCAACCAGCTGCCTACGGCAAGTCCGCCACCGCGCCTGGGTTGTGAGTTCGTGGGGCCGTCTTGGGGCGTTCGTGGGCCGTCTTGGGGCCTTCTTGGGGGGCCTCTTGGGCCGTCTTGGGGCGATTTGGGAGGCCTCTTGGGTCGTTTTGGAGCGTCGGGAAGCCGAAAAAGCGAGTATGCCCAAATCCTTCAAAAACGTCAGGAAATCAATGGATTTTGCTTCCTGGGGACTTCTTGGCAGGGCTATTGGAGGCCTCCTGGGGCGTCTTGGAGGCCTTCTGGGCCGTCTGGAGGCCATCTTGGTCCGTTTTGGAGGCATCCTGGGTTATTTTGGTGGCCTGGGTGGGCGTCCTGGGCCGTCGAGGAAGCCCTGGAGAGCCCCAAGGAGGCGCCATGGCCGCCCAGGCACCCCCCGCGAGCAGGGGTGGTGCAGTCGGCTATCTGCGCCCTGGTGGGTGGGGGGGCCCTTGGAGGACTGCAGAAGCCCTGCCAGACAGCCCTTGGCCTTCTTCCACGCCTCAACGCGCGGGCGCGGTGGCGGATCTGCGAGGGCAAGTTGCGCGCTCGTTGCGGGGCGTGCGCCCCGGGCGACGTGGCCGCCGCCCTCGAGATGAGGTGCAAGCGCGCGCGCGTCCGAACGAGGGAGGAGCGTCGCAAAGAGCGGCGCGTCAAAAATGAGGCCGTTGCGACGTGGCTTCTTGGTCCGTCGATGCCTCCATGTGCGCTGGGGGAGGGAGAGGGGGGAAGAGGGAGGAAGAGGGAGGAAGAGGGAGGAGGAAGAGGATTTTTCCTCCTGGTCTCCCCCTCCTCCTTTCTCAGTTGCTATCTTGGCTTGCAACGCAGCTGCGGCTCCTGGCTCAAGGCCCCGCGCTGGGCTTCCCGCAGCGCCCGCTCCACGACCAGCAGCGCCGACATTAGGGCGGCGACGGCCCCCGACGGCATTCCCCGCAGCGCAAGCCACGCCAAGCGCGACAACCGCGACGGCGAACAGCGACCGCGACGACAGCCAGGGGGCCCTTAGGTTCCATCCAGGGGCCCCGAATTGGGGATTTCTTGCCTCTGCGCAGCGCGTCCCCGCACACGGCGCTCATTTGTCTAAATCCCAGAATTCCTCGGTACGCAAAGCTCTACAGAGATCAAAAAGGCTTTACTTGCACAGAATCCTATCTACAGTGATTTCCCCTGAAATGTCAACTGCAATCCCCCCGCAAGCACGCCCCACAGGCACCACCAGGAATTGAACCCAGGAAGGTCAGAATGTGGGAGATAGGATGCCCCATTTGACTACAATCCCGATACTGCCCCAGGGAAGGGGGGGGGGTTCTGGCTTAGTCTGCTAGCCCTATTCTATTGCACTTTCCCATTTCACTACGTTGCCTCGGGCAGGCAGGGGGAGGGGAGGAGGTGCCTGTGCCTGCTGTGCCTGTGCCTGCTGTGCCCAGGAACCAAGGGCCTTGAGGCCCCAAGCGCCCTGGCGCCATCAATTTAGGGTCTCGTGGAGAGCCTCTGGACTACTCAGCCTGAGGCCTCCGGCAGCAGCAGAGAGGCGTCTGTCCTTGTTTCTTTTTAAAGAGCACAAAAAAATCCTGGCCCAGCCGGGCTTGTAAGACCACGCCCGCCATTGATATTATCATTATGTCTATTATTCTTCTTCTTATACTCATTATGTTGTTTTTTTTCTTATTATGATTGCTATTATCATTATTATTATTACTACTAGCATTAATATTATTATTATTAGTATTAGTAGTATTAGTATTCGCATTATTATTATTACTAGTACTATTCTTGTTGTTGTTATTAGTAGTATTAGTATTGTTAGTATTATTATTATCTTATTATTAATGATAATAACAATATTAGTATTATTTCTATTCCTCCTCCTCCTCCTTCTCCTCCTCTCTCCTCCGCCTCTCTCCTCCTCCTCCTCCTCCTGCTCCTCCTCCTCTTCCTCCTCCTACCCCTTCTCCTTTTCCTCCTCCTCTTCTTCTTTTTTATCCTCCTCCCTTTCCTCCTCTTCCTTCTGCTCCTCCTCCTCCTCCTCCTCCTCCTCCTGTTCCTCTTCCTCCTCCTCCTGCTCTTCTTCTTCTTCTTATTCTTATTATTCTGCTTATTATTATTCTTCTTATTTTTCTTCTTCTTCTTCTTATTCTTCTCCTCCTTCTTCTTCTTCTTCTTCTTCCGCCTCCTCCTCCTCCTCTCCTTCCTCCTCCGTCTCCTCCTCTCCTCCTCTCCTCTCCTCCTCCTCCTCCTCCTCCTCCTCCTCCTCCTCCTCCTGGCCCTTCTTTTCCTCGTCCTCCTCCTCTTCTTTTTCCTCCTCCTCCTTTTCCTCTTCCTCCTCCTGCTCCTCCTCCTCCTCCCCCTCCTCCTGTTCCTCTTCCTCCTCCTCCTCCTTCTGCTCTTCTTCTTCTTATTATTCTTATTATTCTTATTGTTTTTCTTCTTATTATTCTTATTATTATTATTTTGATCATTCTTCTTCGTCTTCTTCTTCTTCTTATTATTATTACTATTATTATTATTATTACTATTATTACTACTATTATTATTATTCTTCTTCTTCATCCTCCTCCTCCTCCTCATCCTCCTCCTGCTCCTCCTCCTCCTCGTTAACAGCCCCATTTCCGATGGGGGCTGCCCCACGTGCGGCCTCCCGGGGCCGGCGGCGGCGGGTGCAGCGCGGAGGCGGGTTGTTGCCGCCGCTGCCGCGGGGCTGCAGAAAAGCGCGGCCCGCGCGTCGCGGGCACGGCAGGACAGCAGCGTGCGGCCTCGGGGGCGAAAGAAGGACGTACACGTACTTGCCCAGGCATCCGGCGTGTCTAAAGAATCGTGACGGATGGTTTTCATGTGTTCTCGGCTTCATCGGGGCCCTCTACCGGGCCTTGGGACAATCAAAAAACAATTCGGGATGAAAAATCCGTCCGGGGAAATCCGGCATCCGGCATCCGGCGTGTCTAAAAAATCGCGACGGAGGGTTGTATATGCTTTCGGCTCCTCGGGGCCTCCTACCGGGCCTTGGGACAATCAGAAAGCAACTCGGGGTAGAAAATCCGTCCGGGGAAGTGGTCGAGAGGTCGGAGGCCCGCCTTTCGCAAGAGACGCACGGTACGTTTGCGCAGCGTGGACGCGTCGGCGACTCCAGCACTTTCGTTCAAGGTTAGGGGGCCACATGCGAACCCTACCCCTACCCCCCACGATTTCTGAGGGGGAGGGTGGGGTTCACTTCGTTCGGGAGCTCTCGAAATCGTGGGGGGTAGGGGGGGTTGGGGTAGGGTTTGCATGTGGCCCCCTAAAGGTTGAACGCCTGCAGTGGCCCAGGGTCGGCCAGTGTCGAGCGATCCGCGCCGTTGAAAAGCTGCGAGCGTTCCAGGTTCAACGATGCACGGGGTGTCAGACGCCAACGCCGACGTCATCACGACGTGGACTTGCCGTACACGTGCATGAATCCACGTTGGTCGCCTTCAGACTGAATTAGCACGCGATAGCGTGTGATAGTCAATGAGAGAGCGCCGAGATAGCGTCGACTTAGCTCGCAAGAGCCAGCAAGATGGATACTCCCACGAGTTGCCACAGAAGGCGGATGGCGCAGAGGAGGAGAAGGAGGGGACGCAGGGCAAGCAGGGAGAAGCCAGGGAGGGAGAGGGCAGGGGGCGACGACGACGACGACGACGACGACGACGACGACGACCATCCCCCGCCGGGTGGGCGCGCGCGGGCCGACCGCTCCTGGCCGCCCGCGGGGGCGCGAAGACAGATCGCGCCTTGCGCGTCGCGGGCTGGTCCAGGGAGGAGGACGAGGGAGGAGGAGCAGAAGTCAGGGGCAACGATAGGAGGGGGGGGAATAGGCATAGGCACGGTGGGGGTGTATCGACCCCCGATCGCCCGTTGATCGCCGATAGGGGCATGGTAGCCCCACCCCTCCCAGGAACGTGCGGATTCACTATCGATGGCTTACCGCCGATCTATAGGCGATGTCTCGCCGATTCCAGGTCGATGTGCCCCCCCTCCCCCCCCGTGCTAGTCCTCCCATTCGTTGCCCGTTAAGAAGTGGGCAGGAGGAAGGAGGATGAGGAGGAGGAGGAGGAGGAGGAGGAGGCCGAGGAAGAGGTGCAGGAGGAGCGGAGGAACGCATCCCTCTTCGGAAGTCTTTCCGCTACCTGGGGATTGATTCGCTCCTGGGCCCTGATACCCAGGCATCGGTTGCCGCTCGCCGGATGGCTGCCTACCGCTCGCGCGTGGGGGTGGTCTAGCTGCTGCCGTACTCGCAGAGGGGCGCCTGCGTGGCCGACGCCACGGCCGCCATGTGGGCAGACTGGGGTTTCGCCGACACCAAGACGCAGATGACGCAGGCCGTGTCCCTCGCCGCTGTCGCCCAGATGGGCCCGGCCAAAGCTGGGACGACCGTGCGGCGATCCCGCCCGATGACACACGTGCTGGGGCCAGGTTTGCACCGTACACGTTATCCTTGTGTTGCGATGTTCACGACAATCCGCATGCATTACCATTTGGTGTTGTTTGATATCGTTCCTCTGGCACTTTGGGACCTTCGTTGGCGCCACAGAGATCGTATTCTACCTATACGACCACCCTTCGGGTGATAAGGAGGTTCGGGGGGGGGAACCAACGTCTCACTCGATCGGTCTCACTATCGATCTCAGTATCGATCTCACTATCGGTCTCGCTCGATCGATCTCACTCGATCGATCTCACAATCGATCTCACTCGATCTATCTCATTCGATCGATCTCACAATTGATCTCACAATCGATCTCACAATCGATCACACAATCGATCTCACATTCGGTCTCAATATCGATCTCACTATCGATATCACAATCGCTCTCACAATCAACGTCATCATCATCATCATCAACATCATCAACATCAACATCATCACCAACATCGTCATCATCATGAGGGCACCGTCATCACCATCATCATCATCATCATCATCATCATCATCATCATCATCATAAACATCATCATCAACGTCAGCATCATCATCGGGACAACATCATCATCATCACCACCATCATCTCATCATCACATCATCATTATCATCATCATCGGGACACAGTCATCGTCATCATCATCAGCAGCATCATCATAATCATCATCGTAATCGGGACACCATCATGATCACCATCGTTCTCATCATTAACACTATCATCAACATCGTCATCATCCTCGGGACACCATCATCATCATGATCATCGCATCATCATCATCATCATCATCATCATCGACATCATCATCATCATCAACAACATCATCATCATCATTGGGGCACCATCATCATGAGCAACATCATCATCAACATCGTCATTATCATTATTATCATCATCGGGACACCATCAGCATCACCATCATAATCATCACCATCATCATCATCAGCATCATCATCGGGACACCATAATCATCATCAACATCATCATCATGAACATCCTTATCGCCGGGACACCATTTCCATCAACATCATCATCACCAACATCATCGGAATCATCGGAATCATCATCATCATCATCATCATCATCATCGGGACACCATCATCGCCATCATCATCAACATAATCATCATGAGCATCATCATCCTCATCATCGGGACACTATCATCATCATCATCATCATCATCATCATCATCATCATCATCATCATCATCGACACCATCATCAACATCATCATCTTCATCGGCTCACCATCATCATCATCTCATATCATCATCATCATCATCATCATCATCATCATCATCATCATCATCATCATCATCATCATATCATCATCATCATCCTCGCGGGACACCGCGGGACACCGGCGGGACACCGCGGGACACCGCGGGACACCGCGGGACACCGGCGGGACACCGCGGGGTCCCGGCCGCCCGGAAGGGAATCATTTGGTCCGGCCGCGCCTCAGCCACACGGGACACTAGCGGGACACCGCGGGGCCCCGGCCGCCCGGAAGGGAGTCATTTGGTCCGGCCGCGCCTCAGCCACAGGAGATTTTTTCTCGCCCGCCCACGCAGCTTCGCCTCGCACGCACGGCACGCACGAACACGAAACCGAAACCGATTTCCCGGTGGGGGGCTCGCCGTTCCACTTCGATCTCACCCCCTCACCTCCGATTTGGTCCTTTTGCTGCAATGGGGCGCTCTGGCGATATGTAAGGCATTATTTGGTCTACATCCGCAACCTTGCGTGCTGCATCTTCATCCTTCCGTTTTCGCATGCCTGCTGCTCTGCTTACCCGAGGTGGACGCGGGGCTACGCCAGATCTTGCTCAGAAGGCGGGGGTGCAACGCCGACTACATGATCAGCGTTCTTTTCTGCGTCAAAGTGTCGCTGCAGGCGAAGTTGTTCGACGACCTAAGGACCTCCGGGCTTGAAGACGGTCTTTCTGAACTTTGGCAAGCGCACGACCACTTCGGAGGCCAGAGCTCACCACGGCGGGGCTGTGGACAGCCTTGAACATCACACGTATATCTTTCCATATTCACGATGACGTCTGCGCTCGGTGTGAAGCTGCAATGGAAACTGTGGGACATAGGCTCGGGGAGTGTCCATGCAACGCCACGGAGCGAGCAGAGCTTGATCGCGCGGTTCTGGGCAATGTCTTTCTTGATGGGTTTCCTCCTTGTCTTGCTCGTTGCGGTCCCCTGCCCAGTTGTGACCGCGGCGTACTGCTTGAGCATGCAATGGGGGTTTCAATATCTATGCCGCGTGTGGATGCTATTGCTAAGCAGGCACTTGCCGATTGAAGATCTGGAAAATATGTTATTGCGGGCCTTGTTCAGCCTCGTTCTCGACCTCGTGAAGATGTGTTTCGTTCTGCTCTGCCGCCGGTGAAGCGGATCAAGAAATGCGCTGATCCACGCGATCGCCACAATGCTGCCCGGTGAGGGGAACAACTTCCTGTGCAACCGCTTCCTGTACAGTTCCAGGCGACAGAACCACTCGTTATATCTTGTGATGGGTCTGCACGTGTCGATCGTGATCGTGATCAATGCTGGTTTTTGTGGGCCCACCATCGTTGACCCTGATGACCCACATTTCATCAGGGCCTCCCGTCTTCGAACATTGTTGTGGGGATATATGTATTGTTATTTACTGCATCTTGGGTTCATGCTCGTGTTCGCCTCCATCGTTATCATCTGCACCATGCGCCTTCGTCGTATTCACTTCTACGACAGATGTCGCAGGCCATGATAAATATGATTCCGAGTATGCTGCTGGAGTTGTTCAACGGCTTACGCGGGCGCGGGAGAATCCTGGATTCGTTTTGAGACTTTGCCATGTATATGATGATGATGAAGTGGCTCAATATGCGATTTGGCGGAAGGTGGAGTCCCAGACCAGCCAGATATATCAATGAGCGTGCAGACCACTTGGCCAACTGTGGAACCGGTGGCATCATATGTAATCCTGCTGACGTGCGTCGGTGGGCCAGGCCTTCGGGCTGATCCGGTTTCTTGGTGGACAAGTAGCTTTCTTTTTTCATATTACGAAAAGACTCGACTTCGCCCCAGTTCTGGTTAGCCGACGATTTTTGACGGGTCCGTCCTGCGTTTTGACTGTCCAGTTTCGTGGGATGTTTGCAGCGCGAGGTCGCGTCAAATTTCAGACTCGGTTTCGTCATTTCTCCGAAGGCCCCGTCAGACCAATCCGAGTCCCCCAAACTCGAGTGTTATGTCTGCCCGAGAGGAGGAGGAGGGATATGATGATGATGATGATGAGGAGGAGGAGGAGGAGGAAGAGGGAGAGGACAAGGAGGAGGAGGAAGTGGAGGAGGAGGAGGGGGAGGGGGAGGGGGAGGAGGACAAGCTAGGTGCGCTCGCGTCGTATCTGACTTCCTGCCACTCCCTCCCATCCTTTACCATGGCGTAGATATCCTCTCTATTCGCACACTTGGATGTCGAGCAGGGCAATGATCGCGAGAGGGTACGCGATGCATGGTAGAGCACGGCATGGCATGGCGTAGAAGAGCACGGCAGAGTGTAGCATGCCATAGCATGGCGTGGCATTGCGTAGTGAAGCATTGTATCACAAAATCTTGCAACGCAAAGCATGGTATCGCACAGCGGCGCAAAACGCAACACCGCACATAATGTCATGGCATGGCGCTGGGTTCCTTGGAGGGTGAGTGGATCGTTTTCGAAAGGTAATGGCCGGTCTGGGGTAGTGGCTCCATGTTTAGGTCCGCGGGCTCCCCGAAAAGCTCTACACACGGCGGGGCTGATGGAGAGCACCCGCTGGCTCTGCTTCCAGCATTGCCTTCTCAAAGCAGAAACGGGGCTCCCGCTAGATATTTCCTGGGAACGACGACGCCCCAAAGTGGGAGGCTTCTGCGGCACAAAACGTCAGCTAATCGAACGTGTAATCACTTCCGATGACTTTTTCGGAGGTGTATTTTCTAGACTTGGGGGCGCCGAAAACGCCCGCGCTGCAGCGTGAGCACGATTTGGAACAACCAGAGGCGCAGAAATGAAGCCAGCGCTTCAGCGGGGACATAATTTCGATACAAAACATAGCGAAAACCATATCCCAGTAATCCTGTGTGGAAAAAAGCAGTGTGCGGAGGGGTCGGATGTCTTCCGGACGTCATCAGGGGAAGCAGGAGAATAGTGTTCGTATTGTGCATTGCGGGGGGGGGGGTAGCCGAAAGGAGAGGGGGAGGGGGAGGAGGAGGAGGAAGAGGAGGAGGAGGAGGAGGAAAAGCAGGAGGAAGAGGAGGAAAAGGAGGAGGAGGAGGAGGAAAAAGAGGAGGACCAGTGCAAACCCCAAAAGCATCAAGGACAGTAAATTAAGGGTTCCCTCCAAGTTCTCTTTTCATGGGCCCCTACAACGGAGGAGGAGGAGCAGGAGGAGGAGGAGGACGAGGAGGAGGAAGAGGAGGAGGACGAGGACGAGGAAGAGGAGGAGGAGGATGAGGAGGAGTGGAAGGGAGGAGGAGCAGGAGGAGGAACAGGAGGAGGAGGAGGAGGAGGAGGGCTGGGGAGGAGGAGGAAGAGGAGGAGGAGGAGGGCGAAGGAGGAGGAGGAAGAGGAGGAGGAGGATGAGGAGGAAGAGGACAAGGGGGAGCAGGAGGAAGACCAATGTCAATCCAAGATTCTGAACGATGTTGGAACATACCATCCTTTCAAGCTCCCTCTTCACAAACCCCATACAAGGATTTATTTCCACAGGGGAAGGGCCCCGTTGGGAGACAACCGCTTGAAGATCCTGAAGCGTGCTAGAAACACCATTCTCATGATGTCAGCGCTACGAATCAACCAGACTGTTGCGTCTTGACGATCCTCAACCGTGTCAAAAAACTATTCCTGGGACTTCGACACCGCGAATCAACGTATATAATTGTTGCGAACTGACAATCTTGAATCTCTACAAAACACCACTTCTGGCCCGTTAACCATCAGAATCAGTGCTGTGCGCGGCGCTCAGGCGAGAGCCACATTGTGAAAACGAGCCGCCCTAATCCGTGAAACTCTTGCACGTGTTGAAGACAAATGTGGGCGGTGCTAAGGCGAGAGCCACATGTTGAAAACGGCTTGTCCTCAATCCGTGAAGCTCTTGCAGCTTTTTAAGACGAGTGCGCGCGGCGCTAAGGCTTAAACCACATGTTGAAAACGATGTGTCTTCAATCCGTGCAACTCTTGCAATTGTTTGAGGCGCGTTAGGGGTGAGAAAGTCTCAGGCGAAACGCCCGGCCCGCGTTTCCGACTGGCCGCGGAGTGCGACAGGGAGGAGTCATTGGACGGAGGCGGAGGAGGCAAGGGAGCGGTGCGGGGACGCGAGGGCGCGAAGAGGGGAGCGCATCGCCTGTCGCGAGGGCGCGAAGTTGGAGTGCCGGGGTTGCCCAGCGGGCATCTCTGAAGTGCCGCCCGGGCCCCGCGCGGCAGCTCGTTCGGGCGCTCCCTTGCCCGTTGGGATGGGCATGCGTCCACCAATCGACCTCTCTCCGGCGCCCCTCCAACATACCGATACCATACGCGCGCCGAGAAATCTCGTAGTACAAGCTCCGTGGCGGGCGCTTTCTGGCCATACCGCTCGGGGAACGAGGGTTGTACTATCTGTTGGGGTCGGGCGCACGCCTCCGAGGAGAACACATGGTACTAGTATGTCATTCTGCGCCCCCCTTCTTCAGGACGATCTGTTGGTGGGCGTTGTGGCCAACTTTGGTTCGCTGGAATGTGGATTTTCGGCTGCTTGGTCCAGCTGTGCGAGAACACTCTTGCGCCCTGATCCCGCCGCCCGCCGCGTGGCAGAATTTCTCGCGGCTTTCGACCACTCTGCCCGTACCACTCTCCGCCCGTGGCGGCCCCCTTTCCTGCTCGAGAAGAGGGGGATCCAGAGGAGAAAAATGTGCCGATACCGCTACTCATGCCTCGTTTTCCCCGCTTGGGGCCTCCTGGGAGGCCCTCCTCGTTGTCACTGCTGGATTCGCCGTGTTTGTCTGGTCAAAACGCTCCCCAGGAGAGGTCGGAAAGAGCGCCCACGCAGGGACGGGAATAAGAAAAGGAGGACCCCAGCCTACCCCGCCCACTCCCTTGGAACGGGGGGGGGCTTCCAAAGGTACCCCCCTTCCCCCCCCCTCGGTCGGCATTTTTTAGCTAGGGGGGGCGGCTTGGAAACTCAAAATCCACTGTTTCAGGTTCTGGAATCACCTGGAACCGTTCCGATGTGATTTTGGAAGGTTGACACTGACCGTGTCAGGTTCCAGATTCACCTTGGAACCGTTCCGGGGTGAAAACCCATCTAAAGCAATTTTGAGCTCCTCCCAGAAGGCCTCACTGAGCTCCTTAGAAAAGGGTTGATTGAGTTTCCTGCAGAAGGCCTTATTGGGCTTCTTGCAGAAGGCCTTACTGGGCTCCTTACAGAAGGCCTTATTGGGCTCCTTACAGAAGGCTTCATTGAGCTCCTGACAGAAGGCTTCATTCGACTCCTTACTGAAGGCTTGGGTGCTCCTTACAGAAGGCCTTATTGAGTTCCTGGCAGAAGGCCGTATTGGGCTCCTTACAGAAGGCCTTCCTGGGCTCCTGACAGAAGGCCTCATTGAGCTCCTTACAGAAGGCCTTACTGGGCTCCCTACAGAACGCCTTATTGTGCTTTTTACGGCCTGACTGGGCTCCTTACAGAAGGCCATATCGGGCTCCTTACAGAAGGCCTTATTGAGCTCATCACAGAAGGCTTCATTAAGCTCCTTACAAAAGGGCGAATTGTGCTCCTTGCAGAAGGTTTTATTGAGCTTCTTCAAGGCCTCATTGGGCTCCTTACAGAAGGCCTTCTCAGCTTCTTACAGAAGGCTTTATTAAGCTCCTTGCAGAAGGCCGCGTTGGGCTCCTTACATGAGGCCTTATTGAGCTCCTTGCAGCCGCGAGAAAAAGGCCCCAATCAGAAATTTCTTTTGGAAAATTACCATTCTGGGAGCTCGGGTACACCCCCCCCATCCCCGAGAGAGCCGTTTTGCGCTGGGAGAGGGTTCCAGATGGATTTTCACCCTGGAACGGTTCTGGTGTGAAAATCCATCTGGGACCTCCCGACGCTGAGCGGAGAGGCCCAGCCGCGAAAAAACAGCTCCCCAATCAGACATTTCATTTTGAACATGGCCATCTTGGGAGCTCGGGTGCACTCCCCCCCATCCCCGACAGCGCCGTTTTGCGCTGGGAGAGGGTTCCATCCAGATGGATGTTCACTCTGGAACGGTTCCTGGGTGAAAACCCATTTGGTACCTCCCGACGCTGAGCGGGAGGGCCCAGCCGCAAAAAACAAGTTCCCCAGTAAGAAATTTCATTTGGAAAATGGTCATCTTGGGAGCTCGGGTACATTTTCTCCCCATCCCCGAGAGAGCCGTTTTGCGCTGGGAGAGGGTTCCAGATGGATTTTCACCCTGGAACGGTTCCGGGGTGAAAATCCATTTGGGACCTCCCGACGTTGAGCGGGAGGGCCCAGCCGCAAAAATCAAGCTCCCCAATCAGAAATTTCATTTGGAAAATGGCTATTTTTGCGTGCTCGGGTGCACCCGCTTCCATCCCCGACACGCCGTTTTGCGTTGGGAGATGTTTTTTGATGGATTTTCACACTGGAACGGTTCCGGGGTGAAAATCCACTTGGGACCTCCCGACGCTGAGCGGGAGAGCCTATCGAGCGGGAGGGCCCAGCCGCGAAAAAACAGCTCCCCAATCAGACATTTCATTTGGTAAATGGCCATTTTGGGTGCTCGGGTGCACTCCCCCCCATCCCCGAGAGAGCCGTTTTGCGCTGGGAGAGGGCCCCAGATGAATTTTCACCCTGAAACGGTTCCGGTGTGAAAATCCATCTGGGACCTCCCGACGCTGAGCGGGAAGGCCCAGCCGCGAGAAACAAGCTCCCCAATAAGAAATGTCATTTGGAAAATTGCCATTTTGGGGGCTCAGGTACACCCCCCATCCCCGAAAGCGCCGTTTTGCGCTGAGAGAGGGTCTCAGATGGATTTTCACCCTGGAACGGTTCCGGGGTGAAAATCCATTTGGGATCTCCCGACGCTGAGAGGGAGGGCCCAGCCGCAAAAAACAAGTTCCCCAATCAGAAATTTCATTTGGAAAGTCGCAATTTCGGGAGCTCGGGCACACTTCCCCCCATCCCCGAGAGGCACCCACAAGGCTCCTGAGAGCGCCCAGATGGAAAATCACCCGCTTCAGGTTCCAATTTTCACCCAGGAACAGTTCCAGGGTGATTCTGGAACCTGAAACGGGTCGATGCCGACCCCTCGTCTGGGCACGGGGTAAGCCCAGGCTCCCCTCTTCAAAGAAGGAGGGGGGCTTCCGAGCCCACCCACCCCTTCCTCGTGAAAAGAGGGGGTGGCTTCCGAAGTCTCCCCCCTCTTTTTGCGGGTGTGGGATAAGCCCAGGCTCACTTTTCCAGGTGGGGGGGGGCTTCCGAAGCTGCTCCCCCTGAAGCTACCCCGCGCCTCCCGCCCTTTGTTCGAGGCCCGGGGTAAACCCAGGCTTCCTTTTTCCAAAAGTGCGTCTGAAGCTACCACCACTCCCCTCCTTCTGTTGGCATTTCCAGCTGGAGGGCCCTAGCTGAAGGGCGGATTCGAAGCTGCCTTTTCCTTTGGATTTGGGCGCTCATTTGGTTTTTCGGCGCCCTTGTGGTTTTCGGCGCCCCTGTGGTTTTCGCACCCTTTGGCTTTTGGTGCCCCTTTGGTTCTCGGCGCCCTCTTGGTTTTCGGCGCCCCTTTGGTTTTGGGCGCCCTCTTGGTTTTCAGCGCCTTGTTGATTTTCGGCGCCGTTTTGGTTTTTGGCGCCTTGTTGGTTTTCGGCGCCACTTTGGGTTATCGGCGCCCCTTTGGGTTTCGGCGCTCGTTGGTCTTCGACGCCCCTTCGATTTTCGGCGCCCCTTTGGTTTGTGGCGCCCTTTTGGTTATCAGCACTCCTTTGGTTTTCGGCGCCCTTTCTGGTTTTCGGCGCATCGTTTGTTTTCGGCGCTCCTTTGGTTTTCGGTGCCCTATTGAGTTTCTGCGTCCTTTTGGTTTTCGGCGCCCTACTTGTTTGCGGCGCCCCTTTTGGTTTTCGGCGCCCTCTTGGTTTTCGGCGCTGCTTTGGGTTTCGGAGCCAAGTGGTTTTCGGCGCCGCTTTTGGTTTTGGGCGCCGTTATTGTTTTCGGCGCCCCCTTGGTTTTCGGCGCTCTCTTTGCTTCGGCGCGTTTCTGGTTTTCGGATCTCTTTTGGTATTCGGCGCTCCTTCTGTTTTCTGCGTTCCTTTGGTTTCCGGCGCCCTTGTGGTATTCGGTGCCTTTTTAGCTTTCGTCATCCCTTTGGTTGGTTTTCGGCGCCTGTATGGTTGTTGGTGCTCTTTGGTTGTCGTCGCCCTCTTTCTTTTCGGCGCCCGCCCTTTTGAGTTTCAGCGCGCTTTTGGTTTTCGGCTCGCTTTTGGTTTTCGGGGCCATCTTGGTTTTGGCCGCCCTATTGGGTTGCGGCGCCCCCTTTGGTTTTCGTTTGTTGGGGTTCTGCATTTCTTCGGTTTTCGGCGCTCTATTGGCTTGCGGCGCCCCTCTTGGTTTTCGGCGCCCTCTTGGTTTTCGGCGCTCTTTGGGTGGTCGGCGCCCTTTTGTTTTCGGCGCCCCTGTGGTTTTCGACATTTTTTTATTTTCCGCACTCCTGTGGTTTTCGGCATCGAGTTTATTTTTGGAGCTTTTGGTTTTCGGCACCGTCTTGGTTTTTTTGGCGCCATTTTGGTTTTCGGCGACCTTGTGGTTTTCGGCGCCCCTTTGATTTTCGGCGCTCTTTTCTGGTTTTCGGCGTCCTTTTTCGGCGCTCCTTCTGGTGGTTTTCGGCGCCCTGTTGGTTTTCGGCTCCCTGGGTTTTCGACGACCAGTTGGTTTTCGGAGCTTCTTTGGTCTTCGGCGCTCCTTTGGTTTTCGACGCTCCCTTGGTTTTCAGCGCATCTTTGGTTTTCGGCGCCCCTTGGTTTTCTGCATCCTTTTTGGTGGCGCCCTTTTGGTTTTCGGTGCCCTTTTGGTGTTCGGCGTTTTGTTGTTCGGAACCCCTTTGGTTTTCGGCGCAGCTTTGGCTTTCGGCGCCCTTTTGGTTGTTGGCGTTCCTTGGTTTTCGGCGCCCCTTTGGCTTCCAATGCCCCTTGGGTTTTCGGCGTCCTCTTGGTGTTCGGCGCCTTATTTTTTTTTGGGGGGGGGGTTCGGCGCTCCTTTGGTTTTCGCTGCCCCTGTGATTTTCGGGGCCCCCTGTGGTCTTCGGCGCCCCATTGGTCTGCGGCGCCCTTTTGGTTTTTGGCGCCCTTTTGGTGTTCGGCGCTCCTCTGGTGTTCGGCGCCCCTCTAGTTTTCCGCGCCTTTTTTGGTGGCGCCGATTTGGTTGTCGGTGCCCTTTTTGGTTTTCGGCGCCCTCTTGGTTTTCGGCGCCTTGTTGGTTTTCGGCGCCCCTTCGGTTGGTTTTCGGCGCCCTTTGGTTGTCGGCGCTCTTTGGTTTTCGGCGCCCCTTTTGGTTTTCGGCGCCCCTGTGGTTATCGGGGTCCTCCTTGGTTCTTGGCTTCCTCTTGGTGTTCGGCGCCTTTTGGTTTTCGGCGCTCCGTTGGTTTTCGGTGCCCTTCTTGGTTTTCCTCGCCTTTGTGGTTTTCGCGTTCCTTTGGTATTCGGCGCTCTTTTTGTTGTTGTCGCTATCTTTTGTTTTTCGGCCGGCTCCCATTTAGGTTTCGTTTGCCCTTTTGGTGTTCGGCGCATCGTTAGTTTTGCAGCCATTTTGGTATTAGGCGCCCATTTGGTTTTAGCCGCCCTTGTGGTTTTCGGCGCCACTTCAGTTTTCGGCGCCCCTGTGGTGTTTAGCGCTCCTTTTGGATATCGGCGCCCCTTTGGTTTTCGGCGTCCTT